ATTTTAAAGCTTAAAAATGGGGAGGATGCGAGCCTCCAAATTTGTGGTTAACCTAGCCAATTAGGCTCCTTAAGCTGCAACTAGTTCATATCTTTATATGTTATACACTATAAATTCATTTTTTTTCTTAACCGTATCGTTAATGTGGCGGATCTAATTAAAGCAGAGGGTGGGCAGTCCAACCTATCAATCCGTTTATTGAAAATTTGATTGCTATAAAATCTGAACCCTTTATTATTTTCGTCATGAAATCACTTTTCCTTTGTCATCCACACTTAAGTATTTTAAAATAGGGAAATGGTTGGTGCATTCCACCAATCCCGATCCGGATCAATCAGACTAGCAATCCAAGTAATCCAAAAATAGAAAAGCACAACAAAAAAAAAAAAAAAAACTAAAGAAATGTTTTTGGGGTTAAAACATTTTGAAAATAACCAATAATTCAGAAAAGACCCTCTCTTTTGCTTTCTCTCTCATTTCACGCAAGTAAAATACTCCTCTCTTTGCTCTCTAGGATTTAAGACAAGGGTGCAATTAAATCGTGATACGATAAATTCTGAACTCGTGATTTTACTCCGAATTTGGGCTGGCTGGGCCTGGCTCCTGTGTCTTCCTATTTATTGTGGACTCTCCTGAGCATCCACGCCACCAGGCTCATACTCCTCTTTCTCCACAGCTCTACCCCATATGGAGCATGAATGTCCGCCTCACATATGAGATAAACTCCGCCGTCAATGTCATCAACTGGCTCTCCAATGGCCTGGAAAACGCCCTCCCCACATCTGTAACGGCCAATCTTACCAAACTCGCCATAGCTGGACACAGTCGTGGTGGCAAGGTTGCGTTTGCGCTTGCCCTGGGCATTGGCGAAACACCCAACCTCAAATACACCGCTCTCCTCGCCATTGACCCGGTCGAAGGCACGACACCGGAAGTCCTTACTGGGTTGAACGATTCTCTTTCCACCGGCATACCAGTCTTGGTGGTGGGCTCGGGCCTCGGCGACAGAATGAAATGGTCGATGTTCCCACCCTGCGCTCCTCCTAAAAATAACCATGTCAATTTCTATGATGAGTGCCGGTCTCCTGCTTCCCACTTCGTGCCATCGGATTATGGTCATATGGATATGTTGGATGACCAGTTAGGTCCAGCTGGGGAAACCACGGCTTTTTTTTGCACGGCGGGTAAGAGCCGGGAACCCATGCGACGGTTCGTGGGTGGCGCGATGGTGGCCTTTGCCGAGGGCTACTTGGAAGGCCAGCTTCACGATCTTTGTACTTTGCTTATTGAGCCTGAGTCCTCCTCTCCTGTGAGCCTCGATGTTGCAGAAACTAAGCAGATGCCTACCTACTGT